AAGCAACGGCTTTCATTGGCTGATGCGGTCAAGGAAGGGCATGGGTGTACGTGACGCCGACAATTGTTGCCGCAACCCCGATCATCCATCACTCACTCGCCCCATCATTCACTAATGCCTATAACAACACAAGAGATTTCATCATAGCCTCATCTTCTAGGAAGGGAAATACGTGTCATTCGGTAGCTGGAAATGGCTGCTGCCGCTGCTACTCCTCCTCCTCCTTCCCCTGCCCCCACAACAAGCACAGCCACAGATGGCGCACCTGTAACGCGCCTGCCGTCGTACTTTCCCACAACTGTCAAACAATGCACCGCGCCGACAGATCTCTTCTTTGCGTGCTTCGAGCAGTACGCCGTGATGCAGAGCCCAACCGACACGACCAGTGCGAAGCGGGCACTTCTGCTCTGCCAGCCGCAGCTGCGTGGTTACATGACGTGCATGGAAAAGCACCTCGCTGCAGAGAATACGAAGGCATGGTGGAAGTTCTGGTAAGTAGCGTTACTCTACAATAACGACAAGAACAATAGGTGGTGTGCCTGCGCAGAGGAGAGTAGAGGAGATAAGAACAACAGAAGACAGGAGAAGCATTGGGAAGAGTGTTGCACTGCACGAGTGTCGCCAACTCGCCTCACCACTCAGCAACTAAAACTCCTTCTTGCCACCGCCACTCAGGGCGCGATATTTTTTTGTGTGAGGGGTGGGGGAACCCAGGACGACAGATGTGACGCGGCCCCTACCACTACGTATCGTCTTTGCAATTCCTCTGTGCACCCACTGTCATTCACATCCGTTTCTTTACTAATTTGTTTGTCATTCCCAGATCATACGCGAACACAAGGATAAGAACGTATCAGCGACATCAAAAAGAATAGGGGAAGGAAGTGGCTCAGATGCAGTCAGGTAGCGGCGAGGTGGTGTGCGATGACCAGCCTGAGAGCCAGTCGGCGGCCTCCTCACAGTGTGCGGCTCCGGAGTACGTCGCTTCACCAACCACAGTGGCGGACATGCACGAACAGCTCGATTTGATTCTGGGAGCGTGTGCCCACCTGCAGGAGTTGATGCACAGTCGTCTCCCCGTCACTCAACGGGAGGTGTCAAAGTTGCGGAAGGCTTTCTGGCTTGCAACAGGCAGGATGGACATGTTGGACAGCCGCAGCGGCAGTGTGTGCAGCAGCGAGGACGGCAGGGGGGCTGGTAGCGTGGCCAGCACCGACACCGAGGACTTTACTTGCGCCCGTCCCGACTGGCAGGGTGCGCGGGTGCCCCGTCACCGCAAAAACGCTTCTGCACGCAAATATAGCATTGAAAAGACCCCTGCCAGGAGTGTGTCGGCCGACAACGTGGCTGCGCAGGTGCCCCGCACACCTGTTGGGGGCGGTGGGCAGCCGGACGCGAAAACCGCCGCGTGTGACCGCGCCCTGCGGCAGCTTGAGGAGTATGTGAAGGCACGCCCCGAAGCACAGACACACGACCTGGGCGACACCAGTGACGGCAGTAGGAGCAACGACGGAGAGAAGAGGAAGGTGAGCAGGTGGGGCTTCTTCAGTATTCCGCTTGAACGTCGCCTCCAGACTCTCGTTGTGTCGCTGTTTCTGTTTTACACATTCATTCCCACCTCTCTCGTGCTCACAGTGATGTTTCTGTTGAACTGGTGGACGATGCCGCTCATGGTGGTGTACCTCGTGTATATCTTTACGCTTGGGCGGCCGAGGCACCCGCTGAAGAAAAGTAGTCTCTTCGCACGGCTCAAGCTGTGGCGCTACTACAGTGACTACTTCCCCGTGCGTCTTGTGATTCCTCGCTACGTGCGGCGGCAGTTCGATGCCAGTAAAAATTACTTCTTCATTTATCACCCACACGGCATCCACGGCTTCGGTGCCATCGCGAAATTTGGGTTGGGTGCAAATGTGGACAATCTCCTTCCTGGCATCAGAGTTCACACGCAAACACTCAAGATGAATTTCTTTATTCCGTTCTGGCGCGAGCTCACCATTCTCTGCGGCTCCGGTGACGCCAGCGCGGACTGTATTCGTCGCACTTTGCGAGCTGGTCCTGGTGAGAGTGTCCTGTTGGTCGTTGGAGGGGCGCAGGAGAGCCTGCTAGCCAAGCCAAATACGAATGAGCTGACGCTTCGGGCGCGGAAGGGGTTTGTGCGCATCGCACTGCAGGAGGGCACACCGCTGGTGCCCGTGTACGCGTTTGGAGAGAATGATGTGTACAGGATACCCCGCGTCGCGGAGTCGGAGTGGTGGAGGCGGGTGGAGGGGAGAATCCGTAAGTACACGACATTTGCTGTTCCACTGTTTGTGGGCCGCGGCTGGTTCAACTACTGCTTCGGTGTCCTGCCGCACCGCCGCCCCATCGTTGTGGTGGTTGGGGAGCCCATGCCGGTGCCGAAGATCCCCGACCCAACGCCACAGGAACTGCAGGAGTGGCATGATAAGTATGTGGCTGCGCTGCATCAGCTCTTCAACGAGCACCGCGGCGTATACGACGTGGAGTCTAGTGGTCTGCGTATTCTTTAGTGTTAAGTAAACGGATTGACGCGTGTGTGCGATGGTTTCTGTAGTTGGGTGGTTTGTTTCTTGGACTTGATGTCGTCAGAGAGAACGAGAGAGCGAGCTTACATCAGTGAGGAATTTTTTTTTGTTTCTCGTTCTGTTTCTTTCTTGTTTTTTGTGTTTATGATTTCTGTACCCCGCAGGTAGGTGGTGAGAACTTGAGTGAGTGAGATCTGACACAAGTGAGAGCAGAGCAGAGCAGACGCCCTGGCAATGGTACTCATGTCAACGTACCGCAACAGCAGGCTCGTGTCGAAGGAGTTCCTGCACGGCCCCGTCATGCGCTTCCGTGCGCTGGGCGAGTACTACTTCCAGCGGGCGTGGAATGGCACATTGAATTGGGCCCTCCCTGGCGAGTACCGCCTCTACGCGGTGATGATTCCTTTCATTTACTTCTACCATCGCTGGCACACGGAGCACACGCTCGACGCTGACCACGTCGAGAAGGCCCTCATCATGCGTTGGGGTGGGACGCTGGAGGAGGCGCGGAAGCTGTCGGCGAAGGACCAACTGCGGGTGCGCTGCTTCACGGATATAGAGAAGCTCTACTCGGCGTACGGCCCGAAGGATGTGAATGTGCAGCCAGCGGGTGATATGCTGCCAGGGAAGGATTTCTATCACAAGCCCGGTCAGGAGCACCATTCTCACTGAGTAATGCGCCGTATAACGCAACGCTCAGTATGGAGGGGGGTGGGGAAATGAAGTTAATGGAAAGTCCCATACTGGTGACGTTCGAAGGGAAGGAGGTGTATTAGAGGAGGTATTGTTAGTGGATTTGCACAAATATATATATATATATATATA